AACACTATCCGGGGCCCTTACCATTACTTGTATAAGAACTGCCTTTGTTTGTTTTACCAAATGCAATACCTCACATTTATCCAAATTAAACTCCATCTGCCAATTCTCAGCCCATTGACCAATATGATCAAGATCTCTTTGTGATCTTAGAACACCTTCTTCAATGTCCACTATACCATTTTGGTGTCATCCACAAACCATGCCTGCTTTCTTCCCATCCAAATTGTACGGTCGAGAGCTTCAAGTTCCTAAGAGTAAATATAACCAACAATCTGTCCTGGTCCATCCACGTCGATGCTATGGTCAAGAAAGCACACCAATGCCTCTACATCCTCAAAAGGCTAAGGAAATTCGGCATGTTCACAATGACTTTGAGCAATTTTAGTAAATGCATCACAGCTTGGTATGGCAAATATTCTGCCCAAAACCACAAGAAATTAAAGAGAGTTGTGAACATAGCCCAGACCATCACGCAAACCAGCCTTCCAAGCATGGAGTCCATCGATATTTCCTGCTGTCCTGGGAAAGCAACCAACATAATCAAAGACCCCTCCCACTCCAGTTATACTCTCTTCCACCCTCTTCCATTGCGCAGAATATACAAAACTTTGAAAATACATACCAACAGGTTCATTAACAGCTTAGTGTCTGCTGTCATCAGACTTTTGAACGGACCTCTCATATGTGAAAGTTGATCTTTCTTTACACCTTCTCTGTAGCTGTAACACTAGATTCTGCATTCTTTCTACTACCCTGGTGAACTTATGTAATGTACGATTTGCCTGAATAGCACGCAAAACAGTACTTTTCACTGAATCTCAATACATATGACAATAATAAATCAAATCAAATCACTATTCAAAAAAGGAGGCAGAGAAAAAGCAGTTAGCAGTTAGCCAGACATCAGTCGTGGGGAAAATGCTAGAGTCCATAATTAAAGATTAAAAAGCAGAACACTTGGAAAACAGTGAGAGAATCAGAAGAATCAGCAAGGACTTAAGAGAAATCATGCCTGACAAAATTTACTATAACTATGATGATGTAACTAGAGTTGATAAGATGAGCCAGTGGATGTGGTTTACTTGGATTTTCAGAAGGTCCACACAAGATATTTGCATGTAAAAGTAAAGAGCATGGGTTTGAGCATAGTATACTTACACCGTTACAGAACTGATTGACCAGGAAACAGTAGAAAAAAATGCAGTCCCCGAGTGGCAGGCAATGACTCATGGGGTACCACAGGAATCAGTATTCGGATCCAGCTATTCACAATATATATTAATTGTTTAGATGAGGCAACTAAATGCAACATGTTCAAATTAGCTGAGGACACAGACTGCAAAAGTGAGTTGTCAGGAGGATACAGAGGAATTTGAGAAATTTGTGGTAAATAATTGTTGCCTCAGCTCTGATCCCTGTCGCATCTCATTAGTTACAGGCTGCTATCCTGAAAATGCCTCCCTTATTCCACTCTGTCTTACATTAATTAGCTCTATTCATGCTAATATACAAACCCACCACCAAGGGTTCTTATTTGATTAAGTAGCCTAATGCACAATACCTCAATAAACACCTTCCAGAAATCCAAATACATTACACCTACTACTTCCTCTTGATCTCTCCTGATTTATTAGAATTCTTTGAAGAGGTACCAATTTGTGTGGCATGACATCCCCTTCATGAATCCATGCTGACTCTGCTTGATTATATATTTTTAAATGTTCTGCTATTACATCATTTATAATAGACTCTAACATTTCTCCAATGGCAGACCTTAAGCTACCTAGCCTATAGTTAACTTTTTTTTTTGTCTCCTTCCCTTTTTATGCAAAGGTGTTACATTGCATTTTCCCAATCCTCTGGGACTTTTCCAAAATGTCAGGATTCCTGGGAGATTACTACCAGTGCATCCACTACCTCTGAAGCTATTTACTTTAATAGCCCAGGATGCAGCCCATCAGGTCCAGGGAACATTAGCTTCCCTTGTGCTTTTTTGCACATGATAGTTATTGGATGTATTTCCTCTCTCCCTTTTGATTTAAGCATTTTTGGAATGGTATTAATATTTTTCACCTTGAAGACCGATGCAAAGTATTTATTCAACATCTCTGCCATTTCCTGGCTGTTATTTCTCTGTTATTTCTCCAGCCTCATTCTATAAAGGGCCTTTGTTCACTTTGGACTTTCTCTTCAATTTTATATATTTGAAGTTTTTAGAGTCAGTTTCAATATCACTTGCTAGTTTATCCTCTCATTTTTTTTCCTCCCATTTTTTTGCTCATTTTTTGTTGCTTTTTAAAATTTTCCCAATCTTCCATCTTATCATGAATCTTTGCGCATTGTGCTTTGTTCTTTCAATTTGATACTATCCTCACAACACACTTATTGATAGAGAGCTGCCGCCACACTGTGTCCCAGTCTTATACTCTGGTCAACCACAGGGATAAGAAATAATAAGCTGGAGACTGAGGGTGAGGTGGGGGAGGCAAGGGGGAGGGGGTGGTGGTGTTGTCACCATTTCTGCACTCCTGGTTGGGACATCGGTCCCATCTTGGCCCTTCTCATGCCTCTTCATCCTTTCACCCAAAGGTCAGGATTTCCAGGAGAACCACCCTGTTCCTAGTCAACCTCTCAGGAGGTCTGCTCTCCTAGATGCAATGACAACATGTACAACCGGCAAACCTGTTTCGGATCCCAGTCTATCTTCCCTCGATCTGGCAGCAAGCAAGCAAACAGCAAAAAAAAAAAAATCAACAGCATCATTCCAATTTGGGAGCAAATTAAACCCAACTGTTTCAGAGAATGGGATAACAGCACTTTCATTGTTTCATCCAGACGGTAAATATACAGACTGTTACAAAAAGTAATTTTAGCATCCTGCTCCCCACAACTTAATAATGGGATACATAATCATACAAAAAAAATTAGTCGCGCTTTGTTAACTACGACTGGATATTATCGAAGCTCCTCAGATCAGTTTGTGTGTGTAATAGTTTAGGAGCTCCACCATGTGGCACTAAAGATTATTAGAAGACTTCAGCCTAAATTTAGAAAGGCTTCCTGGCAGGTAACTAAACTGTTGTTTATTTTACAATTTTAAACAATCCTCGGCATTGCACTTGGATGATTGATAAAAACCCAGAATGTGACATTGCAGTTCCAAACACTGGACCAGCAACAGCTCTGGAGTCACAGTTTCCAAGCTGCTGACATGAGTCAAGTAGAACACAATAAACTGTACTGACAACAACTTGCATTTCTACAAATACTTTCTAACATTCTAAGTCTTCACGGAACCATAACAGAAAAAGTGAGGCAAAGAAGGAGCCTCTCAACGCTTGTTTAAAAATGCAAATTTTGAGGAAAGCAAGAACATATCGAAATCACATATTTCATAATCTCGCAACATCTCTAACCACTCCACAAATATTTAAGTAGTTTGCACCGCAGTCACTTTGTAATGATATTTTGCAAAAAAACAGTCTTACAAGAGAGTAACAAAGATGCTTCTGGAGACCAGGGCCCAAACGGTTTCAAAACAGAGGCAAATTCAGTAGAGATGCACATGGGGCCAGAGATCCAGGAATACAGTTCTGTAGGGCTTGAGATTTTTACTGAGGTAATTGCATTGTGGCAGTCTGTTGATTTTAATGTTAAACACCGACTAAGCAACACATTCTTCTCACTAGGAGAACTAGGAGAAGTCTTTATTGTTCTAAGTGTAATATAACTAGCAAATCACTTAGTTGCAGATATTCATTAGACGGCTGGTTATACATTATGGTTCAGACTACCATAAATGTATAATTATTGATGCCATCTTTGAATTAAACTGTGCTCCTCCAAGGGTTTAATGTGAAGATGCTGTGTGCAGCAAAACCATAAAGTCACAGGTTCAATTTCTGGTCAATGGCACGTTACACAAAGGCTTCATTACCTGGACACTTAGAGAATGTTTTCAATTGTGATGGCTTCTACAGCCAAATGACCTGTCAATGCTCATTTGTATTGGTTCACAGATAACAGAAATCTACAAGCTCAGGAGCAAAGCAAGTGACACCTTTTGAATTTATACAGCTCCCTTACAGCACTTACAGCCATTTAAGTAATTTGGAAGATTAACAATTGGTGTAGAACACACTGCAGCCAATTTTCAAATAGCAAGTTCTCACAAAATGAAATTATCTGGGATAATCATCAGATAATATGCCTTTAAAGATGATGGTCATGAGGATCAGTATTAGCCAGAACACCAAGGAGAACTGCCCTACAGTGGAATCTTTTGCATACATCAGATTAGATTTGGGCCTCAGTTTAATATCTAATCTGAAATACATCACTTAATAAACCTTAAATTTATTTCATAAACCTTAAATCTCATTTGGTGAAAGAAACACTGGCGGGACAAGTTGGGCCAAAGAGCCTGTTTCCATGCTGTAAACCTCCATAACTCTGATGGTTGTACCATTTGGCAAAGTCCCTGTTAACAGCTTACACTTCCAGAAATATAAGGAACAGCCCACATTTTGAGCTGAACCATGCAGAAATAAGTTTGACCAGCACCAATAGATGTCCTGTTAATTCTGGGTAATAACATGAACTTTACTGTAAACCTGTCCTGGAAAATTACTGCTCCTCATCACATTGCCCATAGTTACCTTTTAAGATGGTAGATGCTTAGCCTGTGTTTTATTTTCACACAGTGGTCAATGTGAACACTCAGACAGTCATTCTCCTCTTATATCATTTTGTGATCATGAACAGTGCTCACTTTCAAATAAATACCAAGCTTTCAGATTCCGGCCTGTCAAGAGTCAGTCCAGTGAGTAAACAGAAGGAGTTCAAATCCACTGGGCATTGCTTTTACTCATCAGAAGATAAAGAGCAAATATTTGCCAAGATTGTACAGGATTTGTTGAAAGCTTGCAATTCATCACCTCCAACTTATATCTATGATCACAATTAGTTATCCAAAGATTAGTTGAGGAGTTAATTCTTACCAGGATTTATCAATGAAATAGAGGCATAGGGGGAACGCTGGCACTTCCACAAGGCCGTACAAAGCAATGTTCAGGTAGCGATTGCCTTTCAAATCCCCCGCATTCAAAGTTAAGCCATAATAAACAAGGCTACAAACATACCTATTCAAAGAACAGAAACAGGCAAATTATTTTTTTTCTTATCAATGACATGGGCATTTCTACATTTCTAACCCAGGCTGAAAGTGGAAAAAAGTAAATAACACATGTGACTACCAGCCAGCATACAGTCAGACGATGAGTGCTGGCTTCAGATCGCTAACCAACAGGAAACAAGGTCTTCAGATCCTGGTTTGGGGAAAGGGTTGTGGTAGGAAATGGAGATGTGGAACAAATGTATAGCACAAAGCTGAATAAACAAGTATACGTTAGTTTTAACAGAGATGTAGCTACAAGATGACCAAAGCTGGGAACAGAATATTCAAAAAGGCATTTGACATTTTGGAAGAACAGGAAGAAAGGAAAACAAGATGGGGCGGCCCTGTTAATAATAATGTAAGAACGATGCTGCAATAAACAGAAGCAATTTTAATCTTAATTTAGATTGGATAAATCAAACCGTCAAAAGTGGGCTTAAGGACAGGTTTACGGACGAAAACACAGGACACTTTCTTCGAACAATACAACTGTGGCCTATTTATCAAAAGAGGAACATATTTATATGGAAGGCTCACTAGATTGATTCCTGGGATGAAGAGGTTGACAAAGGGAAATATTGAGCTGGTTACCTATTCTTTTTGGAGTTTAAAAAAAATGAGAGGTAATGTTGTTGAAACATACAAACATAAAAGGGGTTTAACAGAATTAGATATTGAGATGATATCATCTCTCATGGGGTAATCCATAACTGGAGGGCACAGGTTAAAAATAAGGGGTCGTGAGATGAGAGGGAATCTATTCCCTCAGAGGGTCATTAATCTTTGGAATTCTCTGCCATAGATAACAGTTGAGGGTAGATCACTGGTGGATTCAAAGCTAAAGTTTTTGATCTACAAGGGAGTCCAAGATTCTGTGGTATGTTTAAAGTAAAGCAGTCTGATGGTACGACAGAGGAGGAAAGTACATGATCAGGAGCAGACAGAACAAATGAGCCATTTGGTAAGTTATTGTGCATGTTATTTTTAAAACACAGTTGTGCAATTATTCCTTTTTCCAGCGACCTGAATAAATGAGTCTTACAGCTGGTAGCATGTCATGAGTGGTGTGCCACAAGGGCCTCAACTCTCTACAATTTATATCAACAATTTGGATGAAGGAAGCAAATATATGGTAACTAAATTTGCTGAGAACAAAGATAGGGATGAAAGTGAGTTGTAAAGAGGACATAAGGAGTTTACAAGGGATAGATAGGTTAAGTGAGTGGACAAAGATCTGGCAAATGGAGTATAATGAGGGAAAGTGTGAGATTGTTCATTTTGGCAGAAAGAATTTTTAAAAAAGTATTATTTATATGATGAGAGGTTGCAGAGGGATCTGGGTGTCCCAGTGCATGAATCACAGAAGGGTAGTATGCAGGTGCTTCAGGAAAGCTAATAGGAGGTTATGTTTTATTACAAGGGGAATTGAATGCAAGAGTACTGAGATTAAACTTCAGTGACAGAAGACATTGGTGAGACCACTTCTAGGAATACTGTGTACAGTACTGTTTACCGTGCTTATAGAAGGATGTTAATACACTGGAAACGGTTCAGAGAGGATTTACTAGGCTAATACCTGGAATGAGCAGGTTGTCTTGAAGTTTAGAAGAGTTAGAGGTGACTTAACTGAAATACACGCGATCCTAAGGGGACCTGACTGGGTGGACGTTGAAAGGATGTTTGCTCTTGGGAGAGAGCCTAGATGTAGGAGTCATAGATTAAAAATAAAGGGGTCACCTATTTAAAATAGAGATAAGGAAAGATTTTTTCTTTCAGTCGTTGGTCAATGGCATTCCTTTCCTCAAAAGCCTGGATGATGAATCTTTAAATAGTTTTAAGGCAGAGGGAGATGGATTCCTGATTACCATAGGGATGAAAGATTATTCGGGATATGCAGGAATGCAGAGTTGAGGTGAAAATCAGTTCAGCCATGACCAAGGGTCGAGTGGCCTATTCTTATTTATTTGTACGTTGAAAGGAAAGCACCAAAGACAAAGACTCAAAAGTGAGGAAGGACAGAAAGAGAATGTAGAATATGACATCAGAAACAGGTACAGTGTGATTGCTTTCATTGCAGAAAGGAATGGCTCCTGCAGTATTTCCTCTAGTGGTTGCAATAAGCTTCAAATTACGAAGTCCAATTTACTTACTGGTCCTTTACACAGTAAATTTCAAACAGGACACAAGAACAGTTAATTAATTTAATGCTATTATCAATAGGTAAGATCTCGTTGCATTCAACCGAAGATTGCTCAGAAATAGTGCAATCTTAATTTTCGCTTGCAATGTTATAAAAATAAAATAAGTCAGCCAGTGGAATTGCAGGCTGATAAATGATACTCTTGAGAACAGTAGCTCATTGAAAGAATCTATAAGATTATTCAGATCCACGTGACTACACAGAGAGTCTGCAAATCTCTGCATTAAATCTTTTTTCTGATCACTTACCACACATACATCAGAATGGCAGTTCTCCAGCGCAAGGCAGGATACCTCACCAGATCCATCACTCCGTGCGCTGACTGACCAGTTTTCAATGTCCCGGCACAGGGTTTTAGTTGCACAAAGATTTTCCCATTCCCATTCCTTTGTGCAATATATTGTAGCACTTCCCCTGCTTCCTCAGTCTTTCCTTGTGAATATAACCACCTCGGTGATTCTGGAATTGGGCTGCAACAGAAAATTGCCATCTTGAAACAAACTCAAATCACTAAAATTTTTTGCCATTCAGAGCTACTACTCTACAATCAAAAAACTGAAAATTGCAAATATCAAATCACAAAATCATCACATAGAACCTGATGTACAAAGTAGTCTGAAAGTAATAATCCTCCAAATAGACCATCAAATTACAGTCTTTCTTACCCTCATATACCTTACCAAACTGCTGCTGATGGTGGTGTTTATTATAAAGATTTGTAGCCCAATGAGTGACTTCACTGCTTAATAAATGAATAACAACTTGCAATCATAATAGAACCTTTGACCTAGTTAAAATATCCCAAGGCACCTATGAATGTTATCAAACATTTTGAGACCATATTGCATATGGAAATGAGGGAAGGTGATCAAAGGTTAATGGAAGAGGTTGGTCTCAAGGAATATCTTAAAGGAAGAGAAGTAGCGAGGTTTAGGGATCTTGGTAAATGAAAGCACAGTCATCAAAAGAGAAGCAATGAAAGCCAGAGGCCAGAATTCAAGAATCACACGAATCATTGAATCTTGGCAACACCTGTTTGAACAGTCAATCTATCCACATTGGAAGTGATTCCTTAATTTGTGTTGCAATTAAGTCAACTTGTGAAGTAATGTATCCGAGGCAAACATTTATCCTTAAAATAACACAAAGAAATAAATTAACTCAATATTTATTTATTGCTGTTTGTCAGACCTTAATGAACATAATTGTCTCTTTGATCTTATAGCAAAAGACACTGTTCAAAAGTAATTTATTATTGCAAAATACTTTGGGAAGTCCGAATAATGCAATAAAGCATTTGGTGAATGTAGATACTTTTGTTTCACAAACTAATGAGGATTTTTTTTTTTTTAAACTGGGTGGATAAACACCACGTAGAAGATTAAGGGATATTCTGATTGAGGGGTTTAAGATGATGAACTAATTCAATAGGATGCACTGACACAATGTTTATTGCCCAAGAGGCAGCTATTTGGATGATCATGAATATGCCAGTCAAAAGTGAACAATCCAGCCTAATGTCACATTTCGGAACTGTAGCCCTATGCATTATGGCACTTCAGATGGATACCTGTCGACACTTTTATTGCGATTACAGTAGCTGCCTCCAGCACCCTTTCAACATGCAAGTTCCAGACCTGCTACTAGATATAGGTGAAAAACTTCCTGGATTGGTCTTAAATTTCTGCCCCATGGTTAGTGACCTCTCTCAACAGAGAGAAGTCCTTCCTATTCACTCTATCTAGGCCATCAATAATTTTGGATATTTCAAATAAATATCTCCTCAGTTTCTTCTCTTCTAATGAGATCAACACCAGCTTATCAAATGTTTTCTCATGGAGTCATAGAGTAAAACAGCATGGAAACAGGCCCTTCAGCCCAAACTGGTCCATGCTGACCCTGGTGCCCACTCAGCTAGTTCAATTGCCCACATTTGGTCCATACCCCTCTAAACCCGTTTCATCAATGTACCTATCCAAATGCTTATTAAATGTTGCTATTGTACCTGCCTCAATCACTTTCTCTGACAGCCCATTCCATATACGCACCACTCTCTGCATAAAGAAGTTGCCCCTCAGGTCCTTCTTAAATCTTTCCCCTCTCATTTTAAACCTGTGCCCTCTAGTTTTCAATTCCCCAACCCTGGGAAAAAGATTATATGCATTCATCCTATCTATGCCCCTCATGATTTTATATACCTCAATAAGGTTACCCCTCATTCTCCTATATTCCAAGAAATAAAGTCTTATCCTGGCCAACTTCTCCCCATAACTCAGGCCTACTAATCTTGGCAACATCCTCATAAATCATCTTTGCATACTTTCCAGTTTAACTATGTCTTTCCTTTAATAGGGTGACCAAGACTGTACACAATACTCCAAATGCAGCCTCACCAACAACTTATATAACTGTAACATAACGTCCCAACTCCTATACTCAATGCCCCAACCGATGAAGGGCAGCATGCTAAATGCCTTCTTCACCACCCTGTCTACCCATGATGCTACTTTCAACAAACTATATACTTGTACTCCTAGGTCCCTCTATTCATAACACTCCTCAGGACCTTACCATTTACTGTCTAAGCCCTACCTTGGTTTGACTTTCCAAAACGTAACATTTCACACTTATCTGTAGTGAATTGCATTTGCTAATCTTCAGCCCACTTCCCCACCTAATCAAGATCCCTCTGTAATCTCTAATTTTTGACAACCTTATTCGCTATCAACGGATCCTCCTAATTTTGTATCATGTGCAAACTTACTAATCATGCCTTGTACATTCACATCCAATGCGTATATGTCAATAACAAATAACAAAGGTCCCAGTACCGACCCCTGCAGCACGCCACTAGTCACGGGCCTCCAATCCGAGAAACAACCTTCAACCATCACCCTCTGCTTCCCACCATCGAGCCAATTTTGAATCCAATTAGCTAGCTCTCCCTGGATACCATGCGACCAAACTCTCAGGACTAGCCTGTTGTGCAGGATCTTGTCAAAGACCTTACTAAAGTCCACATAAACAACAACCACTGCCCGAGCCTCAATATCCTCTTGGTTACCTCTTCGAAAAACTCTAAAAGATTTGTCAGACATGACTTCCTGCGCATAAATCCATGCTAACTATCCCTAATCAGACCTTGACTATCCAAATGTTGGTTGATCCTGTCCCTCAGTATCCTCTCCAATAACTTGCCTACCACTGATGTCAGACTCACTGGTCCAAAGTTCCCTGGCTTGCCTTTGCCACCTTTCTTAAACGATGGATCAAAATTAGCCACTTTCCAGTCTTCCCGAACTTCACCAGTGGCTAAAGATGAAGCAAAAATCTCTGCAAGGCCCTCTGCAATTTCTTCCCTACCCTCCAATAACATCCAAGGACGGACTTGATCAGGCCCAGGGGGCCACCTTAATGCACTTTAGGGCTGCAAACACCTCTTCTCTGGGAATGTATATGTGGTCCAAAACATCCTCAATTGTTTCCCTTATACCCTTAGCATCCATGATTCACTCCTTAGTAAACACTGACGAGAAATATTCATTAAAATTCTCCTCCATCTCCTCTGGCTCCACACATAAATGGCCATGCTGATCTTTAAGGGGACCCATTCTATCCCTAGACACTCTTTTACTTTTAATATAGCTGTGAAACCTCATAGGATTATCTTCAACCTTATCTACTAGATCAATCTCATACCCTCTTTTTGCTCTTCTGTTTTCCCTCTTAAGTGTGCTCCTACACATTTTATAGTCATTTAGGGTTTCACTTGAGCCGGATAGCTTAAACCCAATGTGTGCCTTCTTTTTCCTGACCAGAGCCTCAATATCCCTTGTCAGCCAGGGATCCCTAAACCTGCCAACTTTTCCCTTCACCCTAACAGGGACATACTGTCCCTGGACTCTTGATATCACACTTTTAAAAGCCTCCCATTTGCCAGTCATTCCTTTTCCTTCAAACAGACTCACCCAATTGACCCCTGCTAAATCCTACCTAATGGCCCCAAAATTGAACTGCTCCAGTTCAGCACCTTGACCTGTGGACCTGTCCTGTCTTTTTCCATAGCTATGTTAAAACTAAGAGAGTTATGGTCACTGGACCTGAAGTGGTCACTGACTGACACTTCAGTCACTTGCCCAACCTCATTTCCTGAGGAGGTCCAGTGTTGCACCCTCCCAAGGACGGCCCTCTACATAATTGATTTAGCAAACTTCCTTGGACACATTTGACAAATTCCACCCCGTCCAGGCCTTTTATACTCTGAGTGGCGCAGTCAATACAGGGGAAATTAAAATCTCCAACTAATACTACTGTATTATTCCTAAAGGTATCTGGAATCTCTCTACACATCTGCTCCTCTAGTACCCGCTGGCTATTTGAGGGTCTATTATACAGTCCCAATAAAGTGATCATTCCCTTCTTGTTTCTAAGTATCTTCTCTAAGCACTGTTGTTATGTGCACCCTTATCAAAAGGGCAACTCCCCCTCCTCACTTACTTGTAATTCTGTCATGCCTGTAGCTTTTGTATCCTGGAATATCGAGCTGCCAGTCCTGCCCTTCTCTAAGCCATGTTCCTGCTATGGCTATAATATCCCAAACCCCAGAGCCAATCCATGCTCTGACTCGTCTGCCTTACCAGTCAGGCCTTGTGCGTTGAAATAAATGCACTTTAAACCAGAAGTCTTTTCCCTCCCTTTAGTGTGCCCCTGGTTATCCTGAATAGTAAACTTGCTCTCAATGGCTAATGTATTTTCCCCTGACTTCTCGATGGTCCCTCTCTTATTCAGAGTCCCACCCTCCTGCCAAACTAGTTTAAACCCTCCCAGGTAACACTAGCAAATCTCCCTGCAAGAATATTGGTCCCACTCTGGTTCAAGTTCAACCCGTCCTTCTTGTACAGGTCACCTCTACCCCAGAAGAGATCCCAATGATCTAAAAACTGAAAATTCTGCCTCCTACACCAGCTCCTCAGCCACGCATCCATCTGGCCTATCTTTCTATTTCTACCCTCACTGGCACATGGCACTGGGAGTAATCCGGAGATCATTTCCCTTGAAGTCCTGCTATTTAGCTTCTTACCTAATTCCCTATACTCATTACACAGGGCCCCATCCCTTTGTCTACCTCTGTCATCTGTACCGATGTGTACAATGACCTCTGGCTGTTTACCCTCCCCCTTCAGAATGTTCTGCAACCGCTCAGAGACATCCTTGACCCTGACACCTAGGAGGCAACACACCATCCTGGTGTCTCCTCCGCAGCCACAGAATCTCCTGTCTGTTCCCCTTACAACTGAGTCTCCTATCAGTATCACTCTTCTGACTGCACCCTTTCCCTCTGAGCCTCAGAGTTGGTCACAGCACCACTGACCTGACTGCTGCTGCTAGCCCCTGAAAGGTCACACAACCCACCAAAAGTATCCAAAGGAATATGCCAGGGGGAGGCAATGGCCTAATGATATTTTCGCTG